GCTCTCCCTCTCTTGGGGTGCGGTACTGGGTGTAAAAAACGGAATTTTCTTTCACAATACATAATTTATTGTTCAACACTCAGGTTCCATAAATATATATTATGCATTCATTTTGAGATATACATATTTCTTGTTTCCATATATAATTTATTTTTCTGTATAAATTACCTATACCGCTGACATTACTCGTTCAATATAGATTTTTGTACCAATCTTACAAATCTGTTCCACAAACTTCCACCCGTTTTAGGACAGCCTCTGTGACAATATATTTCTGCAGATTTTCTTTGTTTCCATTTGATATGTGGATCAATGTTCCTTGAGTATTGATTCAATATTTCTGTCTACATTTCTGTAATCCCTTGGTCTTTGTACTTTTAATCTATTCCAACTACCAGTTCACTGCATTATCATTAATCATTTGTATACCGAAGATCTGCAAAAATACACCTCAAATTGAGTTGACAAAATTTCTAACAAAACCATCATCTAGATTCTCACTCCTTATTCATAAAATCCTACAGCTCTTGACCGGCAAGAGACATGTTAACATCACATTAGCAACTACATTACAATACAGCAATTAACGGCCTTGACACGCCCAATTTTCAATGAAGTTCACTCCCCAAATTACATAATTCTCCTTCCATCCTTCCAACATTGAGAATACATGAAATTCCACCAAGACACGTACGCGTAATTTTCTAGACGATCGGCAGCAACAGCAACTGTCATTATCACACTCAGTTTAGCAATTAATCGACCCTCTAATGAAATTACAACATCGTCTAAAACCTGTGTATCTTCATCACAGAGACACATAACATGTGAAGTAAAATTCCTCTACATAGGAACAGTACAGTATATTCAACATACAAATATTACTCTTATACCATATACCCCAATCCAATATTGGTTGGATTTTTCAATAATATATTTATTTTAATACGTTATATATATATATAGACATTGACATTAACCAGTCGTATTGTCTATTTACTCTAGATGCGAACCATCGTGTTTACGTTTTGTTTTTAATTTTATGGGCCATTGATTGTACGATTAGGATTCTGTGCACGCAGCACTTGAAGCGATCACATTTATGAACTCTACACTATAATAATACTCCATTCGCATTTTTTATACTCGATTTATCGGTATTTAATTTAAAATGTAGACGTTATGCTCTAATAAGTGTTAACAACAATATTGTCTATAAAAACAAATATTCCGATTTCGTGTGCACTCAGAGGAGCGACCAAAATCGGTCTGATAGTTTACAAAGATCCTAAAGCTGTACCAAGTTCACTCAGGCAAGTTTTTATTTTCTTATCTGTTATTTAATGCTCGCAAGACTGATGCAAGGGTCTTCAGTTTATTACTTTCTAAGAGGTTCATAGTTTTTGATGAATGTCTAAAAAATTATTTCAATATGTTTCTTCGTAGGGTCAGTGTTTCACAGCAAACGATCGACAATTATTTAATAACTGGATTATATTGGACTGATTGGTCTATTCATTTGCAATGGAACACGACATCGAGGGAAAGGTACAAATTTTTACTCTTCCATCAAGCTCAGTAACGATTGTACAAGAACAATACAACACTGACTCTTATATTTTATAATTAAATAATTTATCAATTTACAATTTTAATTATTCAGCTATTTTCATGAACCACTTTTTCACAACTTGTTAATTAATCTATTCGTTAATTACTTCTTTCTTCCTAGTTTAATCACTAAGTTTATTAATATTGTAACCGCTGTTAATATATTATTTGCATGGTACCAACATTGACTTGACAGGAGTAATTTAATGCAACTTTTCATTATTCATCGTAATTTCTCGTGCAACGTGCCTGACAGACACTGTTGCTTTGTGCGCAGCATTTCATTATGTACTTTAGCGATAATAAAATAAGTATTAATTTACGTTGAAGTAAATAATTGTGATGGATTATCTTACGTTTTAAAAAAAATCCGATGAAATTTCAACAAGAGAATATAATAATTTATAATTTCTCATTACTCTTCTGTATTTTTCGCCTTCAATTGACAAAAGTATATTGACTAAGACTGATGCCATTCGAAACTGGAATAAATCGTTTAATGATCTTAAATCTTTATTCTAGGGCGATTAATTTTTATATAATTCAGATTCTCGTAGTCCATGATCTTAAAATTATTCGTTAAACCTACAAAATACTCATCCATTAAATTTTCATAGTGCTAATTATTTTTGAAAGTTTATAAATGCTTCCAAATATATTGTCAACACATCTAGCAGCTGTGATTCGCTTCGCGGTGTATCACTGTAGCCTTTCATTGATTATCTTCAAATTTATCTGGATTCAACATTATTGACAAGCACCAAAATTGACATCTGTCAAAAATAATGTACAGCTCTTATACATATATGCATAAAGTCAATTTATATCACTCATCGCATGATTTTAATTAATCAAATTTTGTTGAATTGAATTCTAATTTATGAGATTTTTTACATTGATTCCACTAGTAATATCAGATTAAACAAACTAGGGTTTGATTGCATTTTTATGAATTTCATGGGCTATTCTTCAACAATTTTACGAGGTAAACGCAATTTACAAATCATTTATCATCTTATAATTATATATAATTTTATTGCTATAGCTTATTAAATTTATCCTAGTCTTACCTAATATCCATTTATGTATTTCTTAAAATTATTTTTATTGTCCATGGTGGAACATTTTCCTAAAATTATTTATTGTCTCCTCACACAGTATTGTCGGTGATTATTAATTATCCCTCAATTATTACTAATTGTTGTCTGGATACTAAGGAAGACAATTATTGTCCTGTTTCCTCGATTATTGTCGAATAAAAATTAATATCGCTGCCAGAACAAGAAATACATTTTCCTCCCTGAGGAAGTCAATGAGCAAGAAAAAAAAATCAAAAGATCGAAGGGAGAAAATTCTCATGAAATATATACCAACAATACCATAGATTTCTCATTCGCTTAGGAAAAGCCTAAGCTAATTAGTAAGGCTTCTATCCATTACAAAACAATATATCCGTACAAAGTACATTTCTTTTCGAGTGCGAATCAAAAAAGTGCTGGTGCAATATATTATCCCTAGAATTCAGTCAACATTTTTATCATCTACTCTACCCGATTAATATCGTCATTAATCTAATCCTAATTTCTACGCTGAAAGCTGGTGTAAGCGTGAGCAACGAGATAAGATACAATTATCGTACTTTTCTCAATATATATTTAATGCACATAGTACTTCGAATTATATATATGCCATGTAAAGCTCACGTAATACCATTTTAAATTTACACACCACTTCGTTCCCGAAAGCTATGCCTGAATTTACGGTTTCATTTTCCAGAGCCATTAGTTTCCACTCCCTCTACATTTCCTTGTCACGCTGATTACATGGATAACTATTCTACTCTTAGATCTGACGCAATACACGCCAGTATTTTTTTCAGTACAATAAAGTACCTATGGTGGACACAGTAGAAACGATTCGAAAAAGTGTGAAAATACGTTTTTTTTTATTTAAATCTCATCGTAAAAAGTATTATCTCTGATTGAATTTCTCAAGTCTCATTATTCTGTCTGGAATCGTTTCAACTGCATGGGCAAGAAAAAAAAAATCACTCTCAAGAAGTAGAAAATGTTATAGAAACGAATTAACACATCACTTAATCCGATCTCCAATATAATACCAAAATTTCGTAATTTTGCGTGATAGCTTTCATCAAAACATTTGTTAATCCTTTGTACTCGCTATATATCTGAACTTTGCTATATATTTTATTGAAATAATTGCGCCACGTGTACGCGAGTAATCCTAGTGTTCTCTTGTATATCTTACTATATGTTTCCAAGTATTTCATTGTCATTCCAGAGCCGTGACGCAAAACAGCGTTCGCCCAATTGTATCAAATATATGAATCAATAGAATAAAAAAAAAAGTAAAATTCATCTCGTTCTATTTTTCGACTGTAAAAAATCCATCGTGACATTATAAATTTTTCATCCTAATTGTCATTAAGAAAATTCGGGATTTGGAAAAGATATTGAGGATCCAAATAGACGGCAGTATCAACTTGTCATACCCGAGTAAAAATGGGCTGTTGCAGAGGATGTTCGCCGTACCTTCAAGTAGCTTGTCGATTCGCTGAATGATATCCATCAACCACGTCTCAACCTTTTGTCATCCTTCAATCTCTTCTTACCGAGCCTCTTAACGACCTTTCTGTGTTAGCCTTTCTCCCTCTCCGAATACTTGGCCATCTCCTTGAGAATCCAGGGTACATACTTTGGAACGTAAGCGTAAACACCAGGTAATTTTGGATGGGCGCACTTTATTCCCCAGCTGACGATTCCACCCACGAACCAACGCTCCTTATCATTTTCATCTTGACACAACAATGGACCACCAGAATCGCCCTTTGATAATCCAGAAGATTAGTCAATTGAGTTTGGGTGATTTATTAGGGTCGCGATACGAGATATTTATGTAAAGCTGTGAGAACTCACTTGACAGGCGTCTTTTTTACCCTCGGGATAGCCAGCGCAGATCATTCCATCCGTGACATTGAGCTCTTTGTGTTCCAGCCACTGGTTACAAAGCTCCCTCTCCAATACGGGCACTTTAACTTCGTTGACTGCTGGCTCGTACTGAGACGCTGTATCACGTAATAAATTGAAATAAATTCTCTCAACCCTGCAAGATCAAACGATGTACTTACAGTCAGTGTCCTCCTTCTTTCCCCACCCAATAACAGTGCAAACAGTGCCAGGAGTCAATTCTGTATCGGGTTCTGGAAGACAGACTGGCCTCAGATGATCATGAAAATTGACACGCTCTTCCAGTTGAAAAAGTGCCACATCATTATCATGAGCAACACCGAGATTGTAATTTGGATGAGGTACAACCCTCTTTACTTTCCTTTTCTCGCCGAGATAAGTGTGAGCGTATCGTCTCGTTATCCCAAGCTGAATGGTCCAACCTGAGAGATCTGAATGACTAAAACTATCCAACTTTCTTAGCCTCGGATCATCCCCTCAATTCTATTCGTTAAATAAATAATAAAATAAACAATTACTCACTTTCCAACGCAATGTGCAGCTGTAAGAACCCACTGATCTGAAATGAGAACACCAGCGCAGTAGAAGATCTCCTCAGGTCCTCCAAGGAGAGCTGCAAGGAACGGCCAATCACCAGGACTCGATTCCACTCCTCCAACTATCCGACGTTGTGGCTTGGCATTTCCGAAATTATTCCGACGTCGACCGCAAGCTGTACAATCATGCTATTGCGTGAATATCGTGTTGATTGATTTCTTAGTCTATTGATTTATTACCTATATCTTGACATACCGTATTCAGAGCAGGTCAGCTCCACTGTTCGATAATCGCTGTGATCCGTGCAGGTCTGCAGGTCCTTCAGGAGATTGCCTTGGCCCTTTTGGGCAAGTCTCCAACGCTGGGACGTATCTATTTGTGGCTCACTCACTGTCATATTGTTGCTCTTCATCGAGAACATGGAGGAATTGACGACACTGCAATTTTTCAAAAAGTCAATCTTTATTCAATGATGATGTTTCTTCAATATTCATTAGAGGGCCAGAATAGCGCGGAGCTGGCTTCAAAAAATGTTATTCAACATTTTTTTTTAAAAGGGAAAAGATATTTTATATCGCTCCTCAATACAAAAAGCATTATGTTCTCCTGAGGCCGGATCATCCGTCAGTCACCCGTGTAATATTGAAGCCACAGAACGAGTGGGCGATCTGACAATCTACAAGAATGGACACCTTCAATACCCGGTGGAGATAATCAAGAATGGAGAGAGTACACACATGTTGCGGGTGTTTCGATTTGGGTTTAGCCCACCGTGATATTGGTACATCGAGAGCGGCAAGCACCCCTCCAACTATCTCGACATGCTCGAAAGACTGGTAATGGTGTTATCGAATGTATTGCTTGCTGGGTCTATGGTTCAAATGCTTTCACCTCGGCGATATCGACGTTCAAGTTTGACGGAATCCTCGACTCGTCGTCGCTTCACTGGGGTTGTCAAACGACGTGGAAAATGAGAGATAGTGAACTATGGAGTGAGGGGTAGTGGATAGCAGGAGGGTATAGAGAGCTCTTACTTGTAACCGAGAAGACGACAGATAGCCTGAGCCGATGTGGACTCCCAGTGAGTGATGCAGGCTGGGATGAAGCTTTGATTTTCCGCGTGATATACCTGAAGACGACCCTTGCCGATGTCTCCATTCCTCTCACTGAGTCTCACTGTCGACACATTTCAGCATTATTAAACCGAGAAGACAAGTAATTGAAGAAATGAGTCAACTTTACTCACAGCAATTTCTCTCATCCTGGCCCCAAGGACAATCAAGCACTCCATCACAGACATGAGTTGGTGACATGCATCTACGTTCACCGCAGTGCAGCGTCGGCTTGGCAATGACATCTCTTATTCCCTGATTCTTACTCTTACTGTTGACAGAGTACTGCACCGGTGGTGATGCGCACTCCCCGCAGTCAATCTCGTCAGTCTGATCGGCGCAATCCACGTGCCCGTCGCATTTCCAGTCAACTGGAATACATCTGGTACTGTCGCATTGAAATCCACTGGTGCAAACTGCCAACATTTCCCAAAACCAAAAGGATGACTCGAGCAAAATGTCGCTATCATCAAATGCATTCGCTCGTAATACAGATAACTGAATTTCACTGGGCACATTTTTCCCCTTTCCGCTTTTCCAGAATTACACAAAAAAAATATATTATCGCGAGAAAAGCATCAGTCGGGCGTGCAATTAACTGGTGAATGTTGAGGTATGAAAAGATCCCATTCCGTGATGTTCATTTGGAATGGTATTTCAAATGTAATACAGAAAAACGGAAATGTTGCAATTTCTTTAATGTCCAATGACGCTCGAAAGATCGATTAGCCACGCGTTGTCACGGCTTCATTCGGAGATTCCATTTGTGCGATAGTCTAGAATTGTCTGATCTTGCCTCGGGGGTAGGGGCGACGGATGGGCCACGATGGAAACCAGCTTCTCGCAGGGTTTTAATCGATAAACTATTTAGCTCTGACTCTCAGCCTGTGATGGCCTCCAGGCTATGAGGAAAAAGGCTATTAGCACTCGTCGATATCACGTCGCCTAATATTTACGCCATCGCTATATCAATGAGCTAATTCGCCGACCTGGTCCAATCCTTTCAGATTCTCTACTTTTTTCTTATTCTTTTTATTTTTTAATGTTGTTTTTTTTTAATGGGAAATTGTTTATTAGTTTGGAATTCGTGAAGGAGTCAATGTCAATATTCTTCTTCCTGGAAGAGAACGGGAGATGAAAACAAAAAGAAAGCAAAGGGCAAGTGTCAGAGACCTCATCGCCTGGAGGAGAATTAAAGCGGAAAATGCTTCTAAGCTCCAAGGGAGGTGACTGTAATTCCAGCTGGCTGTAAATTCACATCCACCCACTGTCACCAACAAGCTTTTCTAAAAGATATGAAAACCAATTAGTTGGTGAATATGAAGAAAACCAGCACATCATAAATTTCAATTACGAGCGGTGCAAGCTTTCAATTTCGTTCCGTTCGTGTCTATCTGACCTCGTTTCAACAACATCGAAACGAAAGATGTTTTCAATTGATTAGGATTACGGATGCTTTCTATATCGAAAGCCGGAAAACAAAACACTTCCTATTCTCCTCGATTACGAGAATCTTGGTGGAACGGAAGAGCCCGATGAGTTTTCCGATAGATTGGAGTCTCAAGCTTCTGCTTCAATTAATTCCATTCTACATTGTTCGCGAGTATTTTTTTTTGGAAGGGAATTTTTTGTTTAAACTATTTTCACGAAAGATTCAGCCGGAAGAGGTGCTATGGGGAAATTGAATGGTGCGTTAGGTCGGGAGATAGAGATATCGCATTGGAAAGTTCTGGAACAATACGAGTAATGGGAGATCGTCGGGAAAACAAAAGGCCTGTGCAGTCTGGCACCCTCGGGAGGGCACAAGCCCTCGACAAAGCTTTCTCTCGAACAAATACGATAATCAATAATTAAGCCGCGTTTTCTGGCGTTTTGATGGAATCAAATGGGAGGAAATGATGTGAGTGCGTTTTGATTGCAATCTTTTAGGACAACAGGGAGATTTTCATTTTTATTTTTATCTCATCATGTGAGATTTAATAAATCACTTCCCTTCAAGCGAAATTTTATCCATTCCTTTAGGGCATTTGTTCCTGGAAATTTACCCGTTTAGAATAGTTTTTTTTAATTGCAGGGATTAGATTAAAATCCTGAAATGCCGGGTCCGGAGCTCGAGTTCTTTTAGCTTCAGGTGCTTTCAGGAGATTATTCTAATCCTTCCAAGATATTTTTTTCCCTTCTTGCGTCATTATTCAGAGACGCGTGAGATAATATTGTTGAAATGAAAATGTGTACCTGGTTTTTCAGCTCGCAGTGCTGCCTCCTTCACCTCGTGATGGCCTACGCAAATATCTGGACTTGCGTTCTCCGGAAAATAGTCACAGTCCAGGTAGTCAGGCATCTTGAGACCGAATACGTTGAGAAAGAAACCACATCTTCTCGTCATTTCTAGAATTTCAGGGGTGAACTGAATATTGGAATGACAGGCCAATGATATAGGGTATGGTTATTAATTTATTGAGAGGATTCGTAGAATCAAATGACCGTGCATTATTAATGGTACATATGTTGACTGCTAATAGAACTTTCCTCGAAATTAACCGAGGAATCATCAACATATGTGCAAATCTAACAGCCAGGGGTCATCAATGTTCTGTGAAATTCCCAATCCAACCGCAATTAAACCTTGATTTTCTATCACTGATCAAAATTTCCCTAATTTCCATTTGAAATCCAATCAATTGGAACCAATTGATTCTATAAAGAGCTCATGATATTCCAAAAATTCAGCCTCAGTCAAAAATTTATACTCACTAATGAAATATTTGAAATAATTTCATACCATTGCACAAACTTCTGCAGGGTCTAACCACTTGACCGCGGGATCCACATTTTGGTACGAAGACATTGCACAGAAACAAGGCCGCGAGTTCGTAACACCTGACGTCAACAACTGCTTCATAATTCTCCAGTTCATGCTGTGCATCGCGCTGACCAAAGTTTCCCATGTAATTGGGGAATACCGTGAAATTGTACGGCACCTGCAATCAGAAAATTCCCCGAACCATCTTAATTAGTATACATTTGCCCTCGAACAAGTCTCTATTCAGTACTCTGTGGACGTTCATTGGGTAAAAAGACAGTGATGATTTTCTGTTTGATGTTCAATTATTGGAAATGGAATTCAACTGGAGCTCATTGATGGTGCGTTTCAGATTCTGGATTCAATCGATCGTTTATTTATCGAACTGAAGTGGCGCAATTAATATAGACTGTGTGCAATCCACAGTAAATAAGGAAAACAAACATCTAAGCGGATCGTTACCGGGATCAAATAGAACTGATGAAGATGAACTAGAAGAATTATGAAACGGTCATTATTTTTTTCATCCATTGTATAATTTTCCCGAAAAATTCACGTAATAATTAAAATAACAGTTTTAATTGAGACTTTCACTCATCTGTTCGATCCAATCTTTACTATTTATACCTGGAATCTGAAAAATAAATTTTTCCGAATTTTTCAAGATTTTAAATTCACGAATGAATGAAAATTATATCCACTTCTGCCTCAGATACTGAGTATAATTCTATTTAAACTTCGTCGAAACTATATATTTCCCCATTATGAATATAAAATCACGTCTGCGATGCAAAAAATACTCTCCGAAAAAAAAAAATGCTGGAAAAATCCGGTACGTGCTGGAATCCCTGAGCGTGTGCAGCTAATATAATACCCTTCCTCGTTCGAGAATAAAAGTATCACGCTTCCATGAATCCCAGAATTCCAGACGCCCTGGGACACCACGTTGACCTCATTCCGTGATTCTAAACAACTGCACGAAACGTTTACCATTTTTGATGCAAAAAAAAAAAATAAAAACCATGAACAAGGAAAAAACTCACTCTCACCTTGCGATTCATGCAAAAAGTGACGATAACTGGTAGACATATACCCGGCGCTGGATTTTTCTGTTCAGCCAGTGAAGATAATGGTCTCGATGATGACTGAATGCCGGTTTTCAGAACAGTTCGATTCTCGAATCGCACACTTCCTTCAGGATAGGCTGTGAAAAATTCCATTTAATTATCGATTAACGGAGTAGTGAAGTCCAGATATTCGATCGGTTATTTTTTTATCGTGAATTTGTCTAGGCTCGGACTATAAGGACTTGTGACGCTTGCGAGAGAGTTCTTCGGTCAAAGTGCTGAACGGGATGAGATTCGCGTGAAAAAAAAAGGGTATTGAAAAGTTGAAAGTTGAGAGAAAGAGCAATATCCAGGGAGACGCCGGAATATATTGATTCATGTTGAATCAAAAGTTTATCGTTAAAATGTTAACAGTGGACAGTTTAAATCAACAGAAGCAGGTCCTGGCTATTGATCTTCCAGATCCTGGATAAAAGTTCATCCAGAGGGGCTCGAGATGTATTTGCTTGAATATTGCCTGCAGAGGATAGTGAAGCATAGGAAAATGTTGAGTGGAATCAAACCCGAGAGAAGCCTCACAAATGAAACTACGACGCGAACAAAAACGAATCAAATGTCCTGGAGTCAAAAGAAGCTGCTGTAACCAGAACCGGGGAAGTAGGATACGCAATGAAGTAGATATAAATGCGAAATGAGGTACTCACATTTGAAATAAGCCAAGAAACCTCCCGCAATTGCTAGGAGGGCAACAGCATTCACAAAAACTTGAGCATGTCGGAATTTTATTCTACCTCTGGTAACGTAGTGACTGCTCGGTCTCCTAATGTCACGAATAATCTGTTCGGATATATATACATTGAGAATATTATTATCATTAATTTATTATTATTATTATTATTATTATCATTATTATTATCATCAATGAATTCATCTAATTAACCCATACTCTGGGTTATAAGAATAAATTATTATTGGAGCTATTTGCTCGAATCTCGAACTCGAATCATAACAAGAATTTAACAGTGTGTGTCTGGAGAAAAGGACTGCGACGCTAAGGCTTCAGCCACCCCACCAGTTAGTTAATTGAATTGTTCAGGGGTTTGGACTCTGCACCAAATGACCAATGAAAGAGGATTTTGGTCCTTGGCAAATGTGATATGGTGCTACTTACTCTGTGATGTAACGACATGTTGCTGCCACTGTGAAACCTGACGATTGTCTGCAAGCTCGCTGGGGTACTCATTGATTTTGTGATTGGACTGCCTGGTGGATTTTCAGACTCCGGAATCAAAGCTCTTCCTAAAGGACAAACTCTACACTCTGTATTCCATTTTTCGTGTCATTTTTTAAAGCACGTATTTTTCAGTTTTGTTTTACCCGAAATTTCGAATTTATAAAAATAGACGTATCTTTATGAAAATTCGTGAGTCATTGAATAAAGATAAAACATGAAGAATTAAATAAAAATGAGGCAATAAAATGAAATTTGGCGATTTATCTGTTTGATGAAATGCAAAATGATGTATAAAGTGATCTCAATCGAACCTGGAACTCTTCCATTGATATGCTTGTGTGGTAAAAGTGGTGCTTCCATGGTTTTGCTGGTGTAGCTTGGTGAACTAGTCTGACTAAAGCTATCAGATGATACATTGCTGTCCTGTCTAACACTCGCCGGTTTATTCTGGACGGGACTCTGACAAATAGCGCTCAAAGGTGGTGGTAGATTAGTTTGGGTTGCTTTGGGAAGTTTTTCCAATCTCTCAACTCCTCTTTCTTTCCTCAAATTATTCTGCAAAATATTCCTAGCACGCTCCATATCCACATTGTACTTGACTTTTGTTGGCTGCTGCTCACTCTGCAAACATTTCTCAAGATTTCTCGATGTCGCCTGCAATGCCTCAAGCTTGGATCTCTTCTCTGCCTCATGGCGATCCTCGGTATCGCTTTCAAACTTCGTACGCTGCAGTCTGTGCAAAGTGAGAAGACAATAGTGTCGATCCTTTTCGGTTGAAACTTGGGGGATTATTCAAGGAGCTTGTGGGGATTAGGTGACTATGGTAGGCAAATGATTGTCAATCAGGACATCCTTTGTCAAGGGCAAGAGATACACGAGAAGCTACAAAATGCTGTCAATAAAAGTCTCCTATTCCAAGGATTTACATCAAATTATATCCATTGTCCCCTGGAACTTGCGTAATCTAGGGCGAAAAAGCTTGGAACTTCATGAGAGAGTATTCCAGAGACTCGCTAAATTTTTTTTTTTTAAATCGATTTGAACGCTTCCAGAAGCATATATTTCTCACTACTGGCAGAATCTGGAGTAACACCTGGTAAGTTTCTCAACAATATACGTTCGTCCTTAATTCCCATGATATCGAAGAAACTCCGGAAATGGGGAGGAAACTTGCTGCTGGCTGGGAGGTTCTAACCCCCTGGGAGGTGCACATTTAATGTCCTCCTGTGTTCTACACGGATTTAACCGAGTCACCGGGAATAATTTGAGAACACGAGAGTGAATGTTTCTATTAATCTCGAGAATCCTGGAAATAGTAATTATCTAAAAAGCCCCTCGACGTCTCTCAGTTCTGAAAAGCCACTTCTGTAACCGGATGTTTTCCAAATCAATCGACCTCATCAATACCAATGAAATAATCTGCCTGAGAAAAATTCTTCAGGATAATTCTATTCATAAAATTTTTATACGATTTCTCCCGAAAATTTCCAACTGTCACATTTTAATTTTAAAGTGAATGACATAATTTTGGAAAAAGATATTTTTGTTTTGTATAATATATACGAGATCTACTGCGCACTCTGGGCGCCGAATTTGAATTTTGACTTCGAATTCGAGTTGAGTAATAGGGAATCAACCTTACGAGTTTCGACTCAGGTGAACTTCATTTACCTCTGCTTTAATCTCTGGTTTCATGATAAGGAATATAAATTGGAGACTAACCTTGAATTCTTATTGAAATAATCTCTGCTCCTCCGTTGATTAGCAACTTCACAGCAGCTGTGATCGACACTCCTGACAATACCCTCATGCAGCCTCTTCTCAAGATCTCGAACTGTTTTTTGAAGCTCTTCAAAGCTAGACTTGAAGGCCCCACCGTGACTGGCATCAAAGTTCTCAACACGATCGTCATCAAACTTTCGAGTGGTGTATCCATGCTCATGCTCAGCACTTTGAGGCTTAGAGAGGGATTCAAAACCATTCTGCAGTCTCGATGTCTCCAGATCAATGAGTTTACCATCGCTATCTTCACTGGCCCTTCTCCACGCTGTAATTGACTCGGATTTAACGAGACCATCGAGACTGTTCTTCCGCTCACCCGATCTTCCACTGGTCGTTATGAAAATTGGACGCTCATGTTGCCTTCTTGCTGGCAGCGGTGGTGGAGTCCTGGTAATCGTCACCTGCGCAGTTCAATAATCGCTAATTATGGGAATAAATTATCGATTTATATGGCAGTCTCACACTCGATATTCATTAATCGATCTCTGTATTGGCTATCGGTTGGGTTTTTTGATTTAGTTCGACATCTCTAATGGATGGAGATGTGAATGCGCTTGTGCGTGTGCCTCGTGTTCCTCGTGTTCGACCTCAATATTCCCTGTATTCGTGTGGTCGTGTTTGTGTTGTGTAGAGTGCATGTGTACCGGGCTGTCTTTGGATAAAGCTCTTGAGAATTTTATTCAGCTTTTCCCATACCTTCCTATACCATGTTTGAGTCTATTCAGGTGACGAATCTGCAACGAAACCCTCTCATTACTACGTTCCTCAAAGAATTCGAGTTGTTGCGATCGTTGAAGCAGGGTGGAAAAAAATTCAAGGGGATGTCTAACGCGAAATTCACCGGTCCCTCGAGGGGAATTAATGCGGCTCTCGTATTTACTGGGAAGATGAGGAAACCAGTCACTCATTAGTTGCCTCAAATTTTCTTGCTGATTATAATAAATTTTATGCTATTATTCTTCTACTCCAGAACTTGTTCGTGTCGCCTCTCCAATGGAAAGATTTTTATATACGAAGGCCTCTGCCTCTGGACATTTAGCCCTTTGAGTACATGACGAGAAAAAGTTCCAATGGAGTTATAAACTCACATTTTTCCCAAATAGAGTTGAACAACAATTTGTTTGAATATTTAACAAAAAGTCTGATGGGGAGTAGTAAAGCTTATTTGCGGAGAAAGCTAATGCGACAGAGAATTTACTCATTACGTTATCGCACTGGTACAAGGTAGGCAGTATGGTGGAAGCTGAGAGCTCAGTGTCTAATTTATCGGGGTATTCATCACTGCTGCCAGGAAAAAGTGAGTTGCACGTGAAAATGAATTAAAAAAAAAGTGCTTTGAGCTCAGCTGATGGAGCCATAAACTGAATTGAAAAATTCAGGTCGACCTGGCAGGGGCTAGAGTATTGGAAGTCTGTCAAATATGATGCAACACAGCTGTGCAAACGGCATACTCTGACGGTTATTTCAAAATTTAGGGAAGAGCTCACCGTCGGGGTCTCGGAATGACGTCGTGGTAACGGCGGCTGTCGTCTCGTTCCGGTTGACGGCAGGAAGTTATCGCTGGCCGGAAGTGCCACGCTGTTTGTCCTACACGATCTGAAGGAACAGAAAGGATCAAACGTTCACAAGGTAAATGCATTTTACTCGGTTTTTTATTACTTTTTTTTTCATTTTTTTCATTTATTCTTAATGCTATGTAAATTCCTTGGAGAATTTCCTCTTAGAATACGATATGATTAAAGCGGATGGTTTTAAATGACCAAAAGTCTTCTCTCGATTTATATTTTTGAATTATTTTTACGTAGTTTTATGATATTGCTAAATGAATCTCGAAAATTGAAGGGAATGGCGGTTAATTCCGTATTAGCCAGAGCAACGGAGAAATAGTTGAGTCAAATTTGTTCACTCTCTTGTGAAATTTTTTAGCCACTCGAGTGCACATCTGCAAGCATAGCCTATCCAATTAACATATTTGATGGGCAAGCCACGGACTTCAGGGGATAATTACCGTCCACTCGTTGAGGAAGAGTAGTTGCTCTCGTATTGCGTGCAATGGGGAGCGGCAATTAAGTGCGACGATTCGTTTAAAGTGAATTAACTAGGAGAGAGAAATTTACCCGAAAATCCTCAATAAACATCATTCAATTTTCTCTCTCATTACATTCTCTGATCACGTTAGAAATCTCTGTAAGATTTTTTCCTTCACAACCGATATTTATCGAGTTATATGTTAATTATTGTCATTGTGAATTCACCTGGGGTGATAACTTCTGTCCCCCTCGACGTTTCTGCTTTCCGCTCGTGACATCTCGCTAGCTAAAACATAAAAATTTATTGTTTAATATAGATGAGGGAGTGGATCATGGAGGAATATAAAATATAGGATGTGTTTATGATGATTCGAATCTTTGAATGTGCCTGTTATCATAAAATGCAATATTTATTATGCCACGTGCAGAGAACTAGGTGATATGGTGTTGAGAACCTAGTGGAGGTCCGGTGTCACGTCCCCAGGGTTTGCTACAGCAAAGCCCACGTCTATATACCATCCTACCACCAGAAATTACGTTCACAGCCTTCGTACTACCCATTGTATATTGTGTACAGTGTGTAATCACAACTGAAGATGATTACACCAACTAGTTCCCATGGCATAAGTCCCTCTAAGGCCAGTCACGAATCAGCTGTGCGCAGAATATGTGCTTTCAGCATTGCACTATCACCACTCCTATTTTCATGAATACTCTGGTGATTGTTGATTTCATGGGAATCATTCCATATTTCAAATGGCAATCTAACAATCGATCCTCAATGCGAGCAAA